CGTGAAAAATTATGAAATGATGCGGGAAGAGGCATATTTTTGGCTTGTGTTCACTAACATTTAATGATTTTCGTTTGCATACAGAACTCCAACTTTGTCAAATCACCCTAATATCTTGAACAATAATTTGCGTTTGGTGCATGATCGATCAGTCACAAGGAATCATTCGATAGCAAGAATAAAGTTCGCTCAAGTTCAATAAAGTCGCGCCAGACATTTTCTCAGTTTTCAACGATATTTACAAGTACTAAAAATAACCCGAACCAGCAGTGTATTGCACTCTTTTTAATAAGAGTATTGTTTTCCATGCCGAGACTGAATATTCGTATTTTTCTGCCGATTTAACGCCAAAAGTATTCTTGTGGATATTCTTAAATTATGTCGTATGGCATTTCCGTTTTCCAATGTATCTGGTGTCTGGGTGGCGTTAAAGTATTTCAAGCCAGCCTGATATGACGCAGATGACGTCGTGCAGAAATGTTTTTAGCATCGAACATACGGCTAGTCCTGTTTTTGTTGCTTTTAAGAAAAAGGAAGAATTTTACATGGTTTAGTTTTTACATATAATTGTATTGATTTACAAATTCTCAACACAAAAAATTATAGTTAGTTACCAATACCTATCTTTAGTTTAAGTCTTTTTAAATCAGTTGTCATATTTTGTAACCGTCACTTCTGAAGATGTATGTTGTAGCATACGAAACGTCAAGTCTAATATAGCATGCGAAACCTGTTTGTTATGTTTGTAACCGCTGTTTGTTTTCTCTTTTTCCTGCCAAAAAAATTATGTTCTTTTCAAAATCTTAGGTAAAGTCTGCGTACGAGCCAAGTGGCCCATCAGGCCGGAGCTTATCCCGGTTTCTGTAGCATGAAGCGACTAGGAGTATTTCNATCCGGAGACGAGCGCACTAACCATGAGGCCACCGCGCCTCCCACATAGCCTCGGGTTTATTCGGAAAATATTCTTAAAATTCTGCCAATTTCAGCCTCGATATTCTCATGAAATATTTAAGAACTAGAGTGTAACAGCTGGCCGACTCAAATTTTTCTCGGCTCGAGTCAAGTTCGAATCACGTTAGTTTTAACATATTCTGTTTTTTGCTTCTTGAATAAAGTATGTATTTATGTTTACCCAGATCATTATTTAAGCACTAAATAATCTTTAGCCAGCGTTGTTATTTTAACCCCATTCAACTTTTTCCGCCACGCGGTCATCGATTCTTTTCCTCTATCTTCGTTACGCGCGCAAGTGTGTGACGTCATCGATTCTGAATAGACCATTTTACTGTTGTCTGCTCAGTGACCTGGCCTGTGGGTGGCAGCGAGGCTGGAGGCGGATTATTTTGATACAAACCTCACTGCTGTTGTTGTGTAAATCAAGTCGTTCTTATGCTAACTAGTTGACTTTTAAATGAAAAAGCAGAGAGGTCTGTATCAAAGCAAGGTCACCACCAGCCTCGCTTGCATTCATAGGCCAGGTAACTAAGCACACAACTGTAAAATGGCCTACCTCAGAAAGAAAAATCATTGAGAAAAGCTTCAACTTGAGAACAGAAAGGATCAAATACCTTTCAGCAAGTGCCTGTAAGGAATAATGGGCTGGTGCCGAGTTACATTGACACAAAACGAGCGCGATTCACTGTTAAGATAACGCTTTGGATTCGCGTGTAACATTTCGAAAATGACGTGATTTCTTAGCACTGGTGGCGCCTCTTGTTTGATCCTCGCTATAAATTCACGCGATATTTCCGTGAAATTTGTCCTAGACCTGTCATACTTTCGATGTTTGGGATTGCCAGCTGTGACGGGAGAAAACAAAAGTGCTTGGCCGCCAAATTTGACTTCGACAGCTATCATGGTGTCTCTGTTACTGGCAAACATACACACGCGTTCGTATTGCGTTGGATAGGGAAGGATATGTGCAACAGCTTCGTAGTGGAAAGCGTTGAAGATGGCGTCGTAAAACACGGTAGGAAGAACGAGAGATGATTCATTTATACCACATAAATCTCTCCTTTTCTTTATGACAGTGCTTGCGCCATGATGGACCTTGTAATCCAATACACCCACTGCTGGCTCGTAATCTAGCAGCCACTCTTCTACAGCTCGGAACGGCGACATCTTAGT